TCCTGCCATCACCAAGTGACCCTGTTGGACCTGGGCTCTGGCATCGGGCTGAGGTGCCACAGGGTGCAGTTCTCAGTCCTAGGTATCCTTTCTCCTGCAGAGCTCCTGGCTGGGCTTGGACACAATGACAACTGAGAAAGATATCTGCTTCTCAGCTTAACTATGCCCTCCTTTATGTGCAGCTGCAGTCAAGGCAAACTTTCTCTTGCTTCTTACCGCATCTGTTAAAACTCATTTCCTTTACTCCTTTCCATATTACTTAAACTATTACTAAACTAAAACAGGATTAAAAGTACAATCAGCAATTTAAAATGACCCAGTACATCTTGCTGCAGAACTACCCTTTTGGAAAGTACTCCTCAAAAAAAAAAAAAAAAAAAAAACAAAAAAACAAAACAAAAAAAAACAGGTCAAACAAACAGTGCAACTGCAATTCCTGGAATTGTTTAACATTCTATCCCAAAGATAAGATTAAAAACAATGGATTAATAAGGTGAAAAGCACTTGCCTTCACTTTTGCAAGTAAATGGAGTGAATTTCAAACAATTTAACAGATGGAATGCTGGAAAAGCTAGCATAACAAACTCCCCCAAATGAGGATTAAATTGTGAATAATGAAGCACGGAACTGACAGAAAAACAGACAAATAGACCAATGGAAGAGAGCAGGGAGCCTAGAGAAAAATCCATACGGTGCGGGAACAGCCAACTGATTTTCAACAAAGTGCCAAAAACACATAAGGAATAAAAATAGTCTTTTCAATAAATATGCTGCAAAAACTGGCTATTCAACATGCAGGAGAGTGAGACTGGATACTGGTCTCACATCATGTGCAAAGATAAACTTAAACGGATTTATACTTCCAATAAAAGACAGAGACCTAGGAAACCAGAAGAAGAAAACAGAGGAAAAGATCTGGACATTGGTCTGGCCAATGATTTTTTTTTTTTTAATGGAACCCAAAGAATAGGCAACAAAAACAAAAATAGACAAATAACATCATATTAAACTAAAAATCTTCTGCCCAGCAAAGGATACAATGTGTGATTCCACAGTTTATACAGTGGAATAAAATAACTACAAAGTACACATTGGATAAGGGAATGATGCAAAAAATATATAAGAAATTACACTGAGAATAGACGCACTACTCTACAAGAGATAGATGGAGAGTGTGCCCCATTTACAAAGTCTTCGGAGAGGTGACTGCATTTATAGTAAGCGGGCGGTGCCCTGGAGGACTGGGAAGCTGATTCTTAATGTTCAGGTTATTTACCAGCAACAGATTCTGCTTCGTTTGTATGATGGGAAATACACAGAGAAAAATTTAATAATGCACAACCAGACTCTCTGACTTAATACACAGGTCCCCTTATTTATTTCTTCTCTAAACTTATGCTGAAAGAAATGGGAATGTCCTTAAGAGAAACCAAGCAAACTCTAGTAAGTGGAAGAGTGTTGGTCCCCTGGGGATTTGGCTAAGCACACAGGGTCTTTAAGTAGCAAAAGAAACTATGATTTGTTTTTCTTCAAATATATACTTAGAAAAATCTACAAGAGTTATGTAGTTTTATTTTTCTTCCCCAGACTTATGTGTACTTGCTAAACAAATAAAACATTGTTTTTTCCTGGACACAGAGTTCTCAATCTTGTTAAAAATTGAAAGGAGGTAATTCTAAAATAGCTTGAAATACCCAGTTCTATGGTGTTAGTTGGTTAATTTTCTGGCCTTTGAGTTTTGATTTTTGAGTTAGGTTAGTGTAATGGTTTGTGGCTAGATGTCCCCCCACCCCCCACAAATCCTCATGCAATCCTAGGTAGAGCTTTTCAGAGGTGGCTGGATCTAGAGTGTGTCATGTTGGGATTAAATTGGATGCTAGGATCAAGACTGTGTGATTACTAAATTAATCCACTGGTAGGTTTGGCATAGCTCTCAGTAGGAATGCTACTCACCCTTAGGTGTAGAATATAAGGGACACAAAAAGGGTCACTGCTTGTCACCTTCTGTTTGCCATGGACTGTTTTCCCATTGTATGCCCCTCTGCCATGCCACCCCTGGAGCCAGTCAACTACCAACTGAAACCTCTATAAACAATGAGTTGCAATGAATTCCTCCTCCTTTAGCTTTGGGAGTCAGGTATGTATTTTCAGCAATGAGAAAAGTACTTAAGACAGTTATGAATCAAGCTGCAGTTTAACTGGAGAAATATCATTTTGAAAACATGATTAAAACTATCTTTGAAAGTTATTATTTAAATTATTATCCCAAAAAATGTCTGTGTATGAAACTTCTCCAAATTGTTAGACATGATCAGTGTGGTAATTGATCAACATAAATAGTAAAACATATACTTTTATCAGTTACTTAAACATTTTATTTGTACTTTATATGTTTATTTATTTACTTATTTTTTGTACTTGGAATTGAACTCAAGACCTTGTGCTTGTCAGGCAGGCGCTTATGCCACTGAGCTATATCCCCAACTCTGTTTATCTATTTTAAATTATACACCCGTGACATTCATAGCTACACCAGAAGTTCAGATAAATATAATAAACAACTTCTAGATCTGAGTCATTCAATCAAACTGAATGTATACCTACAAGTTAAAAAATCTATCACATTGTGCTGACATTGAAATGTATCTGTCAATTTATTTCTCTCCCCTTCCAAAAAAAAACCCCAAAGCATTGCTTCTCTTTTTCTATGTCTCTGTTTTTACTCTGTAGATCAATGGTTGGCAAAATCTGTCCCATAGCTTTTGTGTTTAAGAGTTTTGTGAGAACACAGGTGTTCCTGTGCTTTCTTACATCTATAGCTGCTTGGTGCAGAATGCAGGGCTGAGCAATTGTGCCAGAAATTAGGGCCACAAAGGATCCCCCTACCATATTATATTGTTCTACACTCTCTGGCCATTTATAGAAAAGCATTTTCACACTGATCCATTTTAGACTATTATATACTATGAACAGGGGCTTTGTCAAACCCAAGCTTTATGAGGATGATGAGACGCAGTTTACCTGCATGTCGCTTAAGATCAAACATGTACACAAATTCTTTTAATCCTTATTGTTTACTTAAAGGTGAGGGAATGAATGGTGCAATAAAGTACAGGAGAGCTAATTCCTGTTCAACTGCTATATTCTCACCAGCTTTCTGGGTTACACGACTGCGTTTCAGTATATAGAAAACAGAAGTGAAGAGATGCACAGTGGCACCCAGAGAGTTGAGCTCAGGTTCTCCTTTCTGTCACCGCCCTTGCTCCAGAGGCAGGTGGGTCTGACAGCTCTAACAGGACTTTCTGTGGATGGAACAGTTTCTTCGCTTTCTATGCTGATCATCCTCAATTTTAAACGCAGTTAAACATTACCCTAGGTGTTTGCTGAGTTAAGGCCTTTGGCAGAGACAAGTAGATGCAAAGCCCTGACACCTGTTACTGGCAGTTATAGCTCAAGTCACCTGGCAGGTGGGTGGGATGGGAGGGGTACATCGGTCAGGGCATCCAGTTTGAGAGGCAGTTTAATTGGGTGGCCTTTAAGTCTTTTTTGTGTCTGAGGATCTGTACAATTTTGTTATTTAGCATCAGGTCATTCTATAAACTGAAGAAGTGTGTATCTTATCAGTAACTTTAAAAACTGATTTATTTGTAAATTATGCTGTTGTAAACTACGACTGGTGATTAAATGTTATGAAAGCTAAACTTTGACAAGGAGCCGCTTCTGGTCTTAGGCCAGTTAACGTCCATCACTAAGATTGGTCTAATTGATTATCTAGGCCAACTTCTTTTCAGCCCACATGAAAATATGACCCTGTTATTCATGCAGCAGAAAAGTCCTCTGTTCCACGCAATAAGCGATTTACATAGTATAGGCAGCATATGCAGGAACTGAGGGCTCTTACAAACTTAGACCACGTCTCAGGAAACAAGCTAAGAGGAGGGAAAGACCTGGGTCTGAGCCTTTGTTAGTGGCCTGTTAAGAATCTTGTGTTTAGATGTCAATTCTGTGGGGCCAATTTAGGCAATGTTGGCTCTGACAGCAATGTTCGCTTCACTGAACTGGCAGCACTGATAGAAATACAGAAGGAAGGAGGCCTCAGTCTCATATTTGGGATGGGATCTGGATGTGTCTAGCACTAACCAGCTGTGCGACTGTGGCCAAGGCAGGTTCTCAGTGTCCTCAGACAGTCATAGGCGTTAGTTCTCAAACGTCACGGCAGAGAGTCACCGGGCTCCACTGCAGGGTGGGGTGGAGGATCTGCGTTTCTAAGGTCCCGGTGCTGCTGACCAGGGAAGGGCTGGGAGGAGGCTGCCTTAAATTCCTGAATCCTTAAGACTTTACAGCAGTTGAGGAAGGTGGCCAGCATCAAACATGTTCAGTATGATGCAATCATTTTTAATCAGAGTTTCCTTTGCAGGAAGATGAATGCTGTTTCTTTCTTTAGATTTTATTTTTGAGGCTAAGAAAAAAATACTTTTAATATTACCATTAACTACAGTAATAAGTCAGTTCACAAATGCTTCTGTTTGCAAACAATTCAGTTTGCAAACAAAAGCATTCAGGAAAATTTTACCTCTATTCACAAATTCTTCATCCTCACACACATGACCATGCTGTCTTTCCACACAAGCACAAACACAGCTGTCCTCCGCCAAATTATAAAACAAAGAAAACAAATTACTGTGAGTTTGTAAACCAAGGTACCACTGTTTGCTGAAATTATGGTACATAGTACTTTCTCTCAGATTCTTTTCAATACAATCTTAACTATATTTATGTAGTTTTGATATACAGTGAGTTCCAACAACTTTCATTTTATGAACATTCAAGATTGCTGAGTAATGGTTTATCTTATGCTTACTACAATTTAATCATTTTCATATTGGTAATTTTTTGTTGCACTTAGTATAATTTTTCAACTGTTATTTTTTCATCTGAGACCAATCTCTCGATGCTGCCCAGAGAGACACTCAACCCAGCAGGTGTCCGCCAGTACTTACGTCATGGCTTGATAAATGGATTCGATCCCATACCGCATGGCAAACTCATCAACTATTTCCTGGGAAGCATCATCAAAGAAGACTTTCCAGGCTTCATCTCCTTTGACCTCTGGGATTTTCACACCACCATTAGATTTCACTTCCGTCAAGTAATGGAAGAGATTCTAGAAGCAAGTGGTTTTCACTGTTCAGTGATTCCTCAGAGTAAGTGAGACATGGTCAACTCTAACTATCAATAAAACGTGCCTGAGGGCCATCACTGCTAATGTTTCATTAGCACCTAAAGCAATAAGAATATCTTGGATTTCAGTTAAATTCCCTTCACTTATGAAAAACCTGCTTTTTTTTTTTTTGTCTATGGTCATACAGAGTAAACAATTCAAATGTTTTGTACAGACTCAACCATTTGAAGAGAAAAATGGCTTACATATAAACATCTGCATTCATGGACTCTGAATAAATTACTGTGTCTGGGACAAACAATGTAATGTTGGCAATGTGTTAATATCAAATTTCATTTCATAAATGATATTAATGGGCATTAGCTGCAGAGAGCTAAGAATTAGGGCAATGAAATGAGGCTGAAAATAAATGTTTGAGATTTTTGTGAAGAGAAAACCAGCATCCTAAATTCTTTCTTGCTTCTAACAAGTTTGGGAACCACTGTGTGCATGAAACCTGAATCAACCAAAGAAACTTTCCTTGGATTTCAGCTCTTTCTGGTTCTTGAACCAACAGAAAAGACTGAAAAGTAGAGCATGCTGTTCCTCAGATATCCTGTCTTTGAGGGTGCACCACAAGGCCAGAGTCCCAACATCTGGTTCAAGGGATTTCTTGTTGGCTTTAAACTGAACCATTTTTCTTGAAGGAATGGTGGTGTTGACTGGGCTCTGGTCCTGGAATTAAATTTAGCTCCTATCCCCTGCTAGTCTATCATAGATGAAACAAGATTTCTCATTTCTTTATAGTAAAATGAGTTATGAATATTCATATGTACCAAATATTTACAGGCATAACTTTTACAAATACAGACATATATGACAAAAACAATATGCAATCAAGCAAAGCTCTTTCCAATGTTTTTTTCCTCCTTGATGAAGGTACTTTCTCCTTATTTCTTTGGACACATGGAAAAGATTCATCCCTCTGTTTCACCTGACCTTTTCTGGGATAAGTATCATTTGCATCAAAGAAAGGCTTCAGGGATGCCTCTGGTAAGCTCCCAACTGCAAAGCAGCCCAATCACTGGTCCATGTGTTTGGACCCCTGAGGGACTGAAGGACAACAGAACATTGGGCCTTTCTGTTCTGCCTCATGGATTTGGTTCAAACTCTCTCACAGGACAAAGTTTTAGGGTCAAGGCATTGGGTCTACCCAACCTCAGAGACCCATCTGCTACAGCGGCAATTGGAAATCCAGGAGCAGCACCACAAATCCAGTTCCATGGTTTTCCCAACTTAATGCATTGTTTCATGATCTACAATCAGTATCATTTTAATCCAGGTCTTATTTTAATAAAACTCAATATATTTACCTCATGTAAACATGTATATTGTATATGGTACGGAGCAACTTTCTCCTCTCCTTTTATTTCCACATTGATTTTCAAGCGAATGGCCCCGGATACAGCTGATTTATCTGTCCGTTTCTCTGATAAGGCAAGAACATTGGTCAGTCATTTCAACAAAACTGTATCTCTCACTTGAGTTCTCAAAACCCCACAAAACCTATATGTGGCTAACAGCCACTTTTTCTCAATGGATTTGATGAGCAAGAATGATTCTGTGAGACATGACCTACAGTCTTTGCTTGTTGTTTTGTTGTGAGTGTGACAGTGCCTTTCCAATATTTCAAACAGAAAAAGTTAATCAGAACAGTTTGCCATTCTGGTAGAAATTTCAATGTACTTGATCTGTTTAAAAAATCAAATTAAATAAATAACTTGGCAATTAAAAGCAAGATAACTGGAGTATAAAATTAACCAGAAAAGCATTTCATTTAAAAGCTCTCACTCTTCATTTTCTTCTTCTTGAGTTGTAAGATGAGCCAACATCCTGGTTAATAATGAGAAACTGGTTACTACATTCCCAGGAACTGCACTCTGTAACCTGTTCCGATTTATGTGTTGGATCAACTGCTTCGGTGGATGGAATTGATGTGTCACAGTTCAGCCAAATACCATGTGCATGAGTGTGTCTGACATGAACTGGAGGGAATGCCTAGCCACAAATTCCTCAGGGGTGAAGGGAGGTGGACACTGTGCCAATGGACATATCAAGGCGAGCTGGCCCCTTTCACAGGAACGGTGGTATTTAAATAGAGAGGACAGTGTTAGTGCTGGAGACTTCCTCAATTGGCTCTTTTTAAACATGGATGCACTTTTAGCTACACTAGGTAGAGTGAAATCAGGAAGGAAGACCACGTCCCTGTTTGACGTAGGGCGACTTCCCGCCCCCGCTGTGTCACCGTCCTGTGAGGATTCTGCTCCCAGCAGTGCTAGGCTCATGGGAGTTGGTCCTCCTGAGTGAGTGAGGGTTGATGACCACCAAAACTCAGCTCACGCAGGCCTAAAGAGCAAGGCAGCCTGGGATCGTGTCACCTCTTCTTTCCCAGGGCTCCAGGGCCCTTGCTGGCTCTTTGAGTTTCAGTTATCTGGGTGGGAACTCTGCCTGGTCAGCCAGGGATTTGGACCGTGTCTTACCTGTATGATGGAAGGAGATGGGCAGTAGGACAAGTGAGACCATGGTATGCAAGAGGATTGATAAAAACCACAGTTTGCACAAAGCTAAGAAAGCTGAAATGTGCTTCCCTCCCTCCGCATCTCTCTTCTCCTCTCTCCACCTTCTCACCTTCTCTCCCTGAGGTTAAGCAGCAGCAGCGAGGGCAGGAAGGTTCTCCCTGTGGGTAACCTGCAGTGCCGTGCTGCCTCTGTCTTCCTCTGACAATGGGTAGCGTCAACAAGAAACCCACCGGGTGCTGCTTCCTAGTGGCACATTCCAGTTCCATGGCAAACTGTCCTCATATATTTTGTCAAAACAATTTGAGAAATTTCTATGCTGACTATAACTTTAATGCTTCAACTCAAGGACATGCTAACAAATTACAAGGGAGGAAAGTTTCATACAGGCGAAACTCTTTAATTAGTATGCAACTTGTGAACATTGCACACAGCCAATGGCCTGAACTCTACTCTCAACAAATGCTTCTACTTTCAGATACAAACAGTTTAATAATTTAAACAAGAGGTGGCCAGGTGCTCATTAAAATTCAAGTTAAGGTTCCCATTCTGATCATGTAAAAATAACAATTTTCTTTAAAGATTTCTTAACATATTTCTGGTAATGAGTTCTTAGTCTTGCTTGCATCACGGGTGTGTGGAGAGGTAAATCTGTCTCTTTAAACTATTATATGATGTAGAGTTCAACAGTTCTCCCTTTACTTTGTCAATGCTTGCATTACTAGAAGTGTGTAGGTTTTTAATACCAAAAGCAGTTTTTAATTTGCGAAAGCATTCTGTATCCTAAGTGATAACTCTTAGTAACTTGGCCTACATCAACTCTTCTTTCATTTCTGACCAGCCAGCCCTCAAAACTTAGTTAAAACATTCCAGAAGCCATGATTAAGATATGTTTGGATAATGTCCTGTAGAGAAACCGAGGTGACTCATGTTTTTACTATTATTAAGTCACCAGTGAGCATGGTAGGTTATTATTTAATTCCAGGAAGAGTCAAATTAGAAGTTGTCTTTACTTATATAGTGTTTCCATAATAAAATTTCATTTGAAAATCATACCAACAAACAAATTTTCAATATCTTCACCATCAGCTGTCAGTAGGCCTTGGGTATACTTGGCCATATCAGCTAAAGCCTCTTCTGTATCATCATTTGAAAGGACTTGAAAATATACTGTTCCTTCCAAAATTCCATTAATGGATCAGGAAAAAATAAGTCAAACAACATTAAGTGACAGTTTGATTCTTTGTTTCTTAAACACTGGGCAAAGAATTTTGGAGCCATTTGCCATGAACTAAAAATTAACAATGTTAAATGTTTTTTTTTTTTTTCTGACGAAATGCCCAGCTGATTCTTGAAAGAGTTTTTCCTTCCTATTTCAAACTTCCAAATATTTTTTGATAACGCTAAATTTAAATAAAAAATATTTTAATTGCCAATGAAACTAACCCATCCACGTCCAACATAAGACCTAAAAAGGCACAGGGTATTGTGAGTTATACAGGCATATTATGCATAGCACAGGTATTCTGGAATTCTACTTCACTTGCTTTCAAATAAACATGGATAATCACCTAGGTTGTACCAGACATCCATCTCTCCACTCAGGGTCCTGACTTCTACAATTGTTTGTCCCAGGAAATCATCGGACTCCTTCTTGAAGTGTTGCTTCACTCGGGACTTGATGTCATCATCTTCATCCCACACTCTGACTTTGATCCGGTCTGTGGAGTTGTGGCACTCGCTGAAAACACATGTGAATAAGTTAGCAACCCAGGACAACTCTAAGGGCATTCACTGAGGCTACCCGACCCGAAAGCCAGTGCATACTACATTCCAAGAGGGCTTCCCCTGGCTCCTTCCTGCCATGGGATGTTGGAGATAGGCACAGTATAGGGAAGAAAAGTTGGACTAGTTCAGTAAAGTCAAGAAGGAGAAACTTATCCCTTTCTTATTTCTTTTGACTGAAATATATGTAGTCAAATATGGGTCGCAGACTTTGCTCAGGCATTTTCACTTATATTATCTTTCCTAAGTGCAGCAGTGGTCTCGGCAGTGCGCTCATGCTCAAAAAATTCTTCACCAAAAGATAAAACAAATTGTGTTACAACAGACATGAAAAGAGTGGACCTCATAGAGTACAAAATGACAGTATAGTTAAGTGGAAGTACTTCGTAAAAGAAAAATCCAAGCATGCACATAGATACTGCTAAACCAAGTAGAGTTAAGAGTAAAATCCTTCTAATTTTAAGAATAAACTATACAGTCTAGAAAAAAATCCTCATTTCTAGGTTTTCTCTACCTGTTTTGGTTTCTGCAAACAACTTCTTATTGTGACATATATACAGTCTCTCCTGACCTGATGGCTTCTGCGTATTTTCTTCTTTACACGTCTCTGCTTGTTTAACTAATCATCCTTCAGACTCAGCTCTTCACCTGCTCCATGTCACACCTCCTGTTGCTTTCACACCTCCTGGTGCACACTGTCTATCCTCACTCCCCACTGTTCACCATGTGCCTTCCCCCCAGCACAGGGACCTTGACCTTGAGGTTGATGGATGAGCTCTGGGCATCCTCAAATTTGTTTAATTAAACAAAAAACAAAAGTAAAGAAACTTCATCTTAACATTTTTCAGCTTTGAATACAAGGAACCAATCTCAACAGCAGTTTGTCTTCAGCAAAACCAGAGACAGTTATAGGTAACATAACAAATGTCAGCAAGCTTGAAGTGTTATATATCTATCTATCTCTACAAAAACTATATTTCAGTGTAACTCATTTTATTTTCAAGCCTTCCTTTTGTTTTATACATTAACAACAGAGGATGTTGAAAAGGCACCCATGCACTTCTCTAGACCACAGAGTGGGTTTGTCAAATGAGAGTGGTTTGGGGACTGACAGTGTGACGTCACTCCCTCCAGCCGAGGAGGCCAGCGGCATGGCACGTGGAGGAAGGGGCTGGAGTGAGATACCACAGTGTGCATCACAGCTCAGCTATTTCTACCAAGTGCAGGGTTTTCAGCAGGGAGCATTCCAGAAATTTCTGGGACGTTTCTGTGCCTGACATTCCATGGACTACACCGGAGATTTAAACTCCATGTGTACGACAGTTTGCATAAATTAAAATGTCCCCCTGGGCACCAGTGAAGCTGCAATTTCACAGATAATCATCTCAGCTCAGGACGACTCCTACATGGAAACATCAAGTCTTTCACAGGGGTTACTAAGCACTGACATTTCTTGGAAACCAAATAGTATGTCGTACAATCAGGGAACATTTTTATTTTTTGGTAGTTATTATTGAGAACTTCAACTGAAAAAAAAGCGGTTTTCCATTCTGAGAAATCAACCATCAGTGTCAAAAATACTCAGACATTTGAATTAAAGAAGTTGTATCAGTCTGCCTTTGAAATGGTCTCCTGGCTTCCAATTCGGCCAACAGGAAGAAGCCTGTGTCTACTAGATTACATACTCTATGGTAGCTGTACTGGAGCCCTACAGACAAGGTGTGATGGAAACATACAGTGATGATTTAAATTAAGATCTTTGTTACAGTAAAAGACACATCATTATCAACCCTTTTGGGAAATCCTCCCCTTGACTTTGAGCACATTAACCTTGTCATTCTGGCCACTTCCTGACAGCTCTCTCCTGAGTGTCTTTAGTTGTGCATTTGAAGCTGCCTTGATGCTCTGAATTGGTTCAATTTCTTTATCATGGTCATTTTGACTTTGTGGAAGAACCAGAAGTTGCAGGGTGCCAAGGCTGGTGAATGCGGTGGAGGAGTACACAGCGTCATGTTTTTATGAGCTTCCTTTCCAGTGGATGGTGCTTGGCAGCAGCAGCCACTGTATTTTTTTAAATCAGGTCTTGTAAAGACACTCAGGAAAGAGGACTCCAGAGCCACTGCAGAAAGTGGCAAGGATGATGATATTTTTGTGCGCTTGAAATGAGGGAGAGTACTTTGAGGTGACTAGTGCCAGTGTGTCTTTTACTGTAATTTTAAAGAATAGGTCACTGCATATTTTGATCACAGAATATTAAAATACATATTAAATATTAGTATATTAATATTTTAAATACATATCAAATAATTTTAATATTAAAATACACATTAAATACATATTTAATATTATAATAATAAATACATATTAGAATATTAATATTAAAATACATATTAAAATAATTTTATTTCTCTATATTACACTTGGAACATGATATTGATCTTCATATATATGATATGGCTATGGCTAGATTACATTATATGCTATTTTGATTTAGCATAAAATGACTCATGAATTATTTTCTGTAACAAAGGCTTCACTGGGCTTGCTAGGGTTGAGAACAATGAACCCTGCCTCCCAACTTCACTTCCATGAACATCAGTCCCTGTCTATAGGATGGGGTAATGAGAACTACCTTACAAGATGGTCACGCACAACTTGATTTGTGTATCTTTGCTATATTATTATCCCAGAAACTATTTCTGAATTTAGGTGCCATGATTTTTGACATATCTATTCCTTGCATTTTCTAACATGTGCCATTCAATAAATATTCTCCCAAAATAAAGTTTCACCAACTTAAAATCCTTGTGATTTCATAGAAATATGTTCATGAAAAAATAATTTTAAGAGCTATTTCTTTAGTAAAATTTGATCAGAGTGAAAGGGAAGAAAGAAGATGGGCAGCGGCGGCATAGCCTGCTACTGACCTGGGAGGGCAGAGGGGCTAACACATGGCTCCCTCTGCTCAGAGCCTGGCGACTTTACAAACTCACAAGGAACGACTGAGTCACGGGGATGCAGATGCCAACAGGGTTGGAAACTTGTCCAAAGTTTACACTAATAATAGCAAAGATTCTAGCTGGGTGTGATGGCATACACCTGTAATTCCCAGACTCCAGGAGGCTGAGGGAGTAGGATTGCAGATGCAAGATGAGCCTGGGGAATTTAGTGACTTAGAAAGACCCTGACTCAGAATAAAAAATTAACAATAGTTCAGGAATATAGCTTATCACAAAGGTCCTGGGTTCAATCCCCAAAACCATGGGTAAAAGGACTAAGAACTAAATGTCATTCTATCAAAAAGAAAAAAATTGTCTAGGTGGAAGGAGAAACCTGCCACTCTATTTCCTTGAGTCTTAGTAAACAGGTCAAAAGGATTTTAGAGTACCAGGAAAAATACTTATCACTGTAATAGTCTTCACACTCAAACATTGCAAAGACAGAAAAATGTCTCCTTTTCTCACCTCTTGATAGACAAATCACTGGCGTTGCTGCAAGCTTTCAGAGACAGAACTCAAATACATTTTTTAACCTGCAATTAGCAGCTAAAGGCATAGCAAGCACTAGATAATAAAGATGGTGAGCACTTCTAGAGTCTATTCATTAAACAAACAAAAAACCTCTGTCTCATTTTGAAGAGGAATTTTTGGAGGCTAGAGTTTTCATTGCAAAAGCCAGAAGTTCTTAACTCCAGTTATGGGTATCTATATATCTACAAATAGTAATCCATAATAAATAGTACTGGTATATACACATATATACATATGTAACACACATTCCTACATACCACATATGTGCACACATACATTTTAGATATGTGTATATAGATATACATATATCATATCATTGCAGAGTCTGATATCAACCAAATGGGAAGGATTGGGGATTTAGCTCAGCAGCATAAATGCCTGTCTAACAAGTGTGAGATCATGAGTTTGATCCCTAGTACAAAAACAAAAACAAAAACCAAAAAACCAAATGGGAGAACCTTTGCACTGAGAAGTTGGAAGATAACTGTTTATTATGCTAACAAACTGGAGGGACCAAGTCCAAATCACACAATAACTGAGAGTGAAACAGAAACTTAGATATATTTTGTAAGCAGGAAATAAAAAAATTGATAGCAGGTTTCATATAACTGGTTACATTTATCAGTTTGTATGTGATCAGGCTGGTTTTTTTCTAGGTACATAAACTAAAGGGGTTGTTTTAAGGTGGGAGAAAGTAGGGAGAGAGCTGGGGTTGAAACTGAGCATGACCTTGACTAGTCTATCTCAGTTGGACAGTCTCTAAAAACAGTGTATATTTATATATCAGGGAGCACAGGCAGTCCAGATGGATGTGGTCAGACTGAGCCAGCTCCGGCTAGCTCTAAGTTGAAGCTGATGTGGTCAGTCAAGGCTGGTTGAGTCCAGTGGTCTAGCCAGGTGGTGGGCTAGGTGAACAGAAGATGTGTTCATGATGGTGTTTTCTCCAGAGAAGCCCAATGATCTAACTTGACATTCTTCAGATGCAGTAGCTTCAGAAATTTTGATCACTCATTTTTGATTTGAGTAACTACTTTTTTGATTTGATCACTCAATTTTGAGCAACTTACCTGTCTATGAGAAAATCTGTCTGCAGTGGTTAACCAGGATGGATTCTACCACATGCTATAAAGGACGCCAATACTGCCATTCTTCCTAGAGCATGAAGGGAGCTGCATGTCACAAACCTTCAATGCAGAGCTACGTCTGTGGAGGAGGAGAGGAGGCGAGGTACTGACGGGGAAGATAGGGTTCACGACAGGATGGAAACTAGAGCATTTTGCATGTGCGTGGAAGGAGCAGCTGGGCAAGTCACACTGAGGAATGCAAACCACACTGACCACTGCTTATCACACCAACTGCTGCCAACCATGCTGATCAATGCTGGCCACTGCCAACCATGCTGACCACTGTTGATCACTTCTGACCA